TGTCAAGTAAATTATAATTTATATCGAAATAAATGTCTATTTTTATCCGCTACTGGGTGTGTACGTCGTGTTACCACTGCCCTGTCTCCCCTCGGGTAGAGCAACCCAACGGTCGTTCTCTCTCTACTCCCTGCCTCCTATTCCTTGCCCCCCCCCCCTTTTCTCACTCTCTTTCTCTCTCTCTCCGCTCGCTCTCTTTCCCTCTAATATCATCGTGTCGCGCTTTATTTAAAAGTCAGGCAGCTCGCCAGCGCCACTCAAAATACCGCGCCGGCCGGCTATCAATACGGCTGACGGCGGAAAGGAGAATACCGTGCCGCCACACCACGGTCAAGTAAGCGGCCAAACAGCGAGCCGGGCAGGACCGCGCCGCTCCATTCAATCGCACCGTGTTCATTGATAACACTCGGAGACACGACGACGGTGAGCCCGAGGGCACAGCGTTCAATGAGAGAGGAGTGTGCGAGGATGCGCAGTGCACGGCATTCGTGTTCCTACTTATCGAGTCCCGCGCGTTCAAGGCGCACACCGCGCAAGTCGTCATCGTCAGCTGTTGTTGAACTCCCGCGGCTGCTGCAGCACACTGACCATCCCTTGCGACCCCCGTAGTATCCATCCACCGCTCGGAAGGTCGAGTCGAGTCGGTTTTAACACTACAGCGGTGGCGGTGCTGCCAGAAGAATGGCGATCAATTTCGGCCGTAACGACGTCGTGTTGGTTGGTCTCACTGACCCGATTCCCCTCCGACAGAAAATAAACACACCGCCTAGAGTCACCGGGAGGGAGTCTCATCAGGGGGCAGGCAGGCAGCCGCCAGGCAGCGTGCAGGTTGGGCTGCCCACCTCCGCGGCGGCGGGGCTGCATCCGTCCTCGCCAGCTGCTGCTGCTGGAGGAGGCTAGGAGGCTCGGCGCGCCCGCGAGCCCGGCAGCCCAACGGGCGCGGGAGAGTAAGCGTGAGCGGGGCCATTTAAACCAACACGCGCGCTGGAAAGAAAGGAGAGCAAAAATAATGCGTGGGCCGAGAGTGTGTGAAGTATTGAGAAATGCAGACGACTTCCTTCATTAGGCCGGTGGTGGTGTGCGTGGTGGTGAGATTGCGGCAGCACAGAGGCACACTATATTTTTCACACTTCGCATTGCACGGCGAATAGAAGTGTGCGGAAAAACACAACGGGGCGTTGTTGGTTGCCGATTTCGATGTGCGGTCGTCGCTGCCTCCGCTTTTGGCTTAGCCGGCCCGGGTGTAAGGAACGGTCTCTCGCTTCCTCCCCTAGGTTACTCACCTTCTTCGGGCGAATTTCTCATAGTGGCCGCGGGCTATGTGGTGGTCGGTCGGTGGGGTCGATGAGTAGTACTACCGCCCATCATGGCGAGGGGCGATCAAGGCGCGCGCTTTTCCGATCGCCGCCGCCTCGCCTCACCCGGCCACACCACGTCCCGCCGGCGATTCCGCCCTGCACGGCACGCGAGCTGCCAAACACAGACACACACACAGACACACACACACACACACACACACACACACACACACACACGCGTGCAACTGGAGCTACACACCACCACGGTGTGGTGTGGTGTGTGGTCTACCCTACGCCGCCGCCTTCCGCCGCCGCGTTCCATCGACGTGCAGTGCTCTCCCCGGCGTCCAGCCCAGGGCGGGTCTGCCCGCCGTTGGTGTTCGCTCGCTCTCGCCCCGCGGCGGGGGGTCCGCGGTCGCGGACCGCGTCCAAGAAGTGTACGAGAATGTAGCAGGTTCGGTGGGCGTACACCGGCGGCGGCGTATAGTGCAACAGGAGCACCGCCGTCGTCATCGTCTGGGGGGATAACTACACGACGTTGTAAAATGTTTGTGTTTTTTTCCCTTCCTACTCCCGCGCCAAGTATAACACGCCCATTGTCGTTACATTGACGTTGTCCCTCTCTTACTCTCACGTGTGTGTCTGTGTGTGTACGAGTAAGTGTGATTGTGTGAGTGTCCTCAGAGCAGCAGCACCCGGGCAGTTGCACAACGATGCTCGCCAAATGTATAGAGTCGCCGGCTGGGAGGGGGGAGGGGTAGGAGCCCCAGGTGGAGCACCTCGGAACGGGGGGTGCAACAGCAGCGTTACCCGTTATTGTGATCAGTATAATCGGCTGCACAATTACAGTGCAGAGAGAGAGACCTGCAGCGGACGAGCGGGAGCCGCGTTGGAGGTAAGAAAAGGGAGAGGAGGAAAAGAACGCGCGGCCCAAAGCGGTTGCCGGTGCTTCCAATATCGCTCCCATTGGGCATGAGAAGGAGGGGGGCAATTGCGCGGCGCGCGGGGACTCTGGGACTACTGCACCGAGGACTGCACCGTAGGGGTAGTTTTGTCCGCTGATGCATATTATGTTGTTATGCCGTTGATGACGGTGATGCAACGAGGCGCGCGTTCGTTTGACGCTGGCGCCGGCTGCGCTGGCGGTGGCTGCGCTCTCGGGGAGCAGCCCGGGGAGCAGGAACAGAAGTTGTTGCAGGGCAGAGCGGAGCAGAGCGCAGCGGAGCGGCCGCGGCAGCGTCACGTCGTCGTCCAAATGACGGGGGTTCACCCGCGGGCCCCGCCGCGCCGCGCCGTGGCTGCAACTTGCAGCTGGCAGTGACGCGCATAAGTGCTGTCCTGCGGGAACTCGTCGCCACCGCCGCCACCGCCGCGACCACCGCCACCGCTGCCACCCGCCAACGACGGCGTCGTATAAATCGTCTTGTTGTGATCGGGTGTGGTCATCCCACCCAATTCTTCCTGCGACGCCACGCCACGCCCTGCGACTTCCTATGTCGTCCGCATAATGAACTGGGGAGGAGGGCGGCGGTTTAATACCCACACAACGTCTTACGGAATCGTTCCGAGAGTACGTGTCCGTTTTCCTCGGATTTCTTATGTGAAATCACCGGGAGCCGGGCGCCTGTGAGACTCGGGGTAGGCCACCCCGCCTTACACGCACGCATCGCAGACACGGCTTTGCCTACCTACCAGGCGCTATGAGAGCTTGCAGAGACTGGACTAGTAGACTTGACTTGACTAACCGTGGGTGGGTTCGTAACGGCGAGTGACGGACGTGCTCGAGGGGTGGGCGACTTGAACTTTTCGTGTACACAGGAGTACGGAGTACACGAAAAACAGTCGGAGAACACTGAGTATTGCCGGTCGGAGCGCGCAGAGTACACCTGGAGCACACCCGGAGTACACCGGAGTACAACCGGAGTACGCGGAGCACTTGCGACAAAAACAGCCGGAGTACACGGAGTACATTCGGAGTACAATCGGAGAACACCTGGAGTACATTTCGGCCTGTACACCGGAGCCGCTCAGCCGTCCACCCCTCGGACGTACTTCTCTCCGGATGATCCCTCTTACGAGCGACGCGGGAGAAGTACTACAGGTGGTACAGGTTGCAGCAGCAGCGGTAGCAGCTGCAGAGGTTGGCGCCGGCGGCGGCGAGGCGCGTGGCACGCGCGCGACCAGGAGCGGGTACACCTAACCATTGATCCCATCGCGTCGGTGACCCCCCCCCCCTCTCCTATATGCTCCGCCTTTATTGGCTCGCAGTCCTCTCCCCGCCGCGTCCGGCCTGCACATTAGTGCACTCTCACACACATACTAACACGTACTTACACTTACACACACACAAACTGACACATACTTACACACTCACACACACACACACCAACACGTACTTACATACTCGGCCGGGAGGATTAACGCAGGGAAAGTGGAACTAGCGGCATGTATTCAACCGCGGGGCAAAATTACTTGCAAGCTTGAAGCGGGTGGGGTATGGGGGCGGGTGGGGGTGGGAACTGGTCGGTCCGCAGAGAGATAGAGGAGGGGGGTAGGAGGTGTGTCCCGCCGCCGCCGTGGCTTGGCCGCGCACAGTGGTTACGAGGGCATTTTTAACGGAAATGGATTATTGTCTTCCACACTCTTTTGGCGCCTCGGCCAAGACTCCGCCGCGGTGGAATAAAGTGCACAGCGTGAGGCCGTGGGAGCTTCCCCCCCCCCCATCATATTTCCCCGCCATGGACTCCAGCGCGCCTCCCCCAGGTTGCCTCATATTGGAGAATTTAAACGAAACGCGAGACGCGGATTCACGAATGGCATTTTGCCAAATTTATTACTATACCTTATTTCACTAAAGATATCCCGTATCAATAAATATAATTATCAAAACCTAAAAAATTGAGAATAAATTTCACTTTTTTTTTTTACAAACTATACCCGAGCTACCTACATAAACCATTCAGCGTCACCATCTTGCCATAACGACTCTCCTGACCTGCTAGGCCTCCAGCCTGAATAGCGTTGTAGGGACCCGGGGAGACGAGACGAGACCCGCCGCCGGTGTGGACCCGGGAGCCAGCTCGCGACCCCACTGACCGGGAGGGGCCCGACCTGTCGCCGCGTCCACTTGCTACACATGGTGTCGGTCACATGGCCGGAGGTCCGGCCGGCCGCCTCTGTTACGCCACGCGCGGCCACGGCGCGCACGAGAGAGACGCCACTTCTTTAGGGCCCCGGTGACCTTCTTTCTTCCTCCGCGGCCCGCTCCTGGGCTGGACCGCTGATGCTGCTGCTGCTGCTGCTGCTGCTGCTGCTGCTGCTGGACCGGTGCGACCTGGTCACCCCGGCCGTCCCACGGTGCGGTGTGGCCGATGGGACGGGACGGACGCCGCGGCGCCGCCGTGGAGTCTTCGATTTCAAAAGCCGCGCGCCCGTGGCAACAGAAGCCATCCTCTAACGATCGATTCTCTCAGGCCGTCGCCGCAATCGACACACCGCTGCAACACACACACACACACACACACGCACACACACACACACACACACGTGCGCGCGCACACATGTACACAAACAAAACCTAAATATGGGCATGAAATTCTTAACGAGTACTTTGCCGCAGGGAAACGTGCCTGATCGCTTTGCATTT